TGTATATTAGGCGAAGGTAGCTGCCATTCCCAAATCATTTCCCAAATGCGTAAGTCTTAAACGGAGCAAGATTATTTCTCAAGCACCAACATTAAAAGCAGGTTTTTGTGATTAGCCGTTAACTACCCTCCAAATGATGGTTCAGATACCCGGATCTGTCTGTTCGGTACATCAGCCATCCTCCACACTTGGCTTCTAAGGTTCTGTCCACATCAAGTAGACAAAGAACCTGCATGGATTATTGGAAGTTTGTTTTGTTTGTTTGTTTGTTTGGTGGAACTGGGGATTGAACTCAGGCCCTCGCGCTTGCCAGGGAAGGGCTTATTCTACTGAGCCATCTCCCCAGCCCCTGGAAGATTTTGTAACGCAGCCTGAAAAAGGAGTTCCATTGTTCAGAACTCAGTTACTTGGCCACAGCTAACTGCAGGAGAGTTTGGGAAATGTAGTCTAGCTCTGTGTCTGAGAAGAGGATATGGGATTGTTGACCTCCTGGAAATCTTCATCATGAGCTTTTCTATGTGTGAGTGGCACTGGCCCGCCTAAAAGTTATGTTGAAAATTAAGCCTTTCCAAAACCCAGGTGTCACTAGAGTTATAGGACACAGAGGTAGGATTTTCATTTGGTAACAGGGATCGAACTCAGGACCTTTTGCTTGCCAGGCAGGGGCTTATTTATGCCACTGAGCTGTCTGCTGGGCCAACATAGGACTTTTAAAAGGTGACTAAGGCATGACAGGACCTTCCCAGCTCCTGGAATTAAGGCCCTATTAAAAGAGGCTTCATGCAGCATTTGGCTTGCCTGCCTTTCCATCTTCGGAGCTGAAACAAAACAAGAAGCCTCTCAGCAGAACAAATATTGATGTCTTGATATTTTCCTTCCCAGCCTCCAGGACTATAAGAAATAAATTTCTCTTCTTTGTAATTACCAATCTCAACTACGCAAGTACCAAAATTTTGCTAGGGTCAGCTTTGTGATGGCAGATCACTCAAGATAGGTTTTGACAGAGACAGGAGAAGGAGAGTTGCTCTAGACAAGGCGAACAGCATAAGTGACTTAGTGTATACAACAAGAGCAAAATCCAAGAGCAGGCTTGGAAGTATGGACAATTTCAGTTTGTTAAGAACCAAGAACACAGGGAATAGCCCAGGAGAAACTGTTGCAAGACAGGTTGAAATTCTTTCCAACCTGAAGTTTTAAAGTCCAGAGTGAGGACTCTGTACCCAGCAAGTTCCTTGGGTTCCCAGGGCTCATTCTGCAGAATAAGTGTGGCCGGGATGAATTTTCTTGCTTTTCCTTCATGTTCTGTTTTTTCCCAGGAAGTGAGTCTTGTGTTTGTCTCCAGTAACTGGCAGCAGCTGGCAGGGAGAGGCGTTCTGACCCTCAGCATGCACAGCTTTGTCCTGAGTTCTGTATCAGAGGATTTTAGAGGCATCAGGGACCTACTGCCAAAAACCATTCTAAGGCATGGTATCCGCTGAATGCTATATTTGGAATGAATCCCAAGTTCAGGAGTGGGAGGAGGGAGGGGAATTCCTTTCTGACCCTAAGACATAATCAGCTTCTGCTCAGGATCCTGGTATTTAATTACCCATATTGTTATCTTAGCTTGCATAGCTGCAACTGTGGCTCATAGTTATAAAAGTATCCGGTCCTTGAAAACCTAGCTACGGCCTTCAGCCTGGTGACCTTCTGACAGTGATTAATTGGGAAGGGTGGGAACTAGGGAAATCCTCTCCCCTCCCTCAGGTCCTGCCAACTAGGCTCTGAACCCAGGAGAGTATTTTGATCAGAGAACATATGTCCACACACCCTCTACCCTTCCGCTCACCCTCACCTCTGTCCCCATGTGGCAGGCTCTGTTTGGTAATCATATACATTCACATTCATAAATTAATTTTGACTTTTCTATGTTGTGCCCCTAGGAAAGTTCTGTATGATTTAGTCCTCCTTCCTTGATCTTAGGACCATAAAATTAATGTCTCTGAAAATTTACCTTTGTTCTTCAGGTTGAGGAAGGTTTCTTTTATTTGTTTCTACTGAGCTGTAAGTATGATGGTCTACCTTTATTAAACTATTAAAAAGAGATAGGATGGGACCTTTGAAGTCGCATTGACCATCCAAAAGTTGCTTCTTTGCAAAGCAAACTTGAAAAGTTAGCACATAATTGTTCAACCTTAAGCATATTCTTATGGAGGGGTTATAGTAAGGAAAATGTGTACGGAAAGGCAAAGTTTTATGTGTACTTTTTCCTCTAGCAAGCCGCAAACCAAATGTAAAGAAATCATTGCCATAGCATGTCTTTTGTCTTGTGTGCAACTTTTTTTCTCCTTTGCACCAAGACCCTCACTGATTCTTTTCCCTGACTGCCTTTCTTACTCACAGGCTTCAAAGGAGGAAATCTTGCAGTTGGTAGACATTCGATGCTTTTGCTCTTTCATTTTTTCCACATGGGGAAGATAAGTCTTCAGGTTGGTGTCTGTGATATGGGCTCACTTCCCAGCATGCCCAGAAATCAGTGTCCATCTTGAAGCCCTAAGACATTTGGGGAAACTGCAAGGTCAATGAAATATCAGTAGAAATTCAGCAGACTTGGGTCCAAATTGTAGTACCATTATCTCTGAAGTATTTTGAAAAAAAATATTTGACTGTACTGACTCTCTGAGCTTGGATTTTAACATCATTGCTTGATTTTGGCTGTCAAATTTATCTAAGTGGAACAAGACAACATATATATCTTCATTACTGATTTCTATGTTAGTCAGCTTTCCATTTATATAACAGAATACCTGAGAAAACAGATGTAATGTAAAAGGGGGAAAGGTTTACTTTGGCTCATGGTTTTTGTGGTTGCAGTCCATGGTCATTTGACTCCAGTGGTTCTGACCTTTGGTGAGTAAAGTCGTCGTGGGGAGGGGCACATGGTGCTCCTCAAGGTAGCTGGGAAAGGTAAAGGGAAAGAAGGGAAAAGGGGGAGATCTCATAACCCAGCCATCTTTCAAGGGCCCCAGCTCTAAACATTGCTGCATTGGAGACTCAAACCTTCAACACGGATGTTTTGGGTGGACATGTCAGACTCCAGCATAACAATTTCTTTTAATCAATATATTTGTGAGATTCACTCAAGTTGTATGAACCAATAGAATTTATGGGACTACATTATAAGTCACAAATTATCTGTCCTTTCCACTTTGGGTGTTTATTTTGATTGTGCTACTTAGCCTAAGTCATGATTCTGCTCTCATTTTTGTAAATCCCCATGTTCATACTCTGTTGAGTACATCACACACTGGGTTTCCCTCAGGAGGAAGATCTGAAAGAAACAGGAAATTTATTCCTGTGTACCTGCAAAATCAAAATTACCTTCAAGAGTAACACTGTCAGTCAGCTATCTGTTTGTCTCAGTCAATTTTCTCATCACTGGGACAAATACTCAATGCCATAACTTATTATTTTTTTAAATGTATTTGGTTGCTGCAGAGTCTCATTATGCAGCTCAGACTCATAGTGATCCTCCTGTTTTCAGCCTCCCCAGTGCTGGGGTTATGGGCATAGTCCACCACACCCATACTCTGGCTTGCTCAGCCTGCCCTGGGGCCAGGGCTGGCTTAGCATGTGGTGCTGGGGACCAAACCATGGTCCCTGCACTTGCCTAAGCATGTTCTTTAGTCCACTGAGTTATCTTGCTGGCTCAACACCACAATTTAAAGCATGAGAGGATTATTTTGGTTCAGGTTCATGCTTGGAAGGCCCAAACATAAAAGCAGGCAGGAAGGCACTGGGTGGAGGAAAGCTCACATCATGGTGGCAGGAATCAGAGGAAGGAGGACCTGGGAGGGAGACACACCCTTCCAGGTCAGGCAGGCCCCACTTCCTAACAGCTCCTCACCTCTCCAAACCTGTGCCTCTGAGTACAGGAGGCTCTTTGGGGCCACCCAAATAAAAGCCTCAACCCTATTATTATAAAAAGAATACCCAAGATAATACAAGTAAAGGAGGAAAGCCTTATTTTTGGCTTTAAAGGTTTCAGTCCATGTTCAGTCGGCCTTGTTGCTTTTGGGCCTGTGGTGAGACAACACCTCATGGTGGACACATGTGGTAGAGAGGGTGTTCACCTCAGGGTGGACAGCAAGTGAAAGAGAGAAAAAGAGGGAGAGATTGGAATTCCGTGGTCCCCTTTGAGGGCATGTCTCCCATTACCTGAGACTTCTCACTAGGGGCTACCTCTTAGAGATTTCCACTGCCTTCTCATAGTGCCAAGCTGAGGACCTTTGGGGGACATTTCAGCAAACACCTACAAGAGAGTGCAAAAAGGTGATCAGCCGCTGAGGGAAGGTGCACTGTGCTGCAGTCATAGCAAGCCTTCCAGCACCTGTGAGACCTCTGGCACAAAAGTGGCCCTACCGATTGTGTCATATTGGGATGGAAGGAAGACTTGGAATCTCTCATCAACCCGTCATGGGGTATGGATTGGCCTAGGAATGGGAGCGTGACTATTAAGTTGTCACCCATTCCTAGATGCTGGTAGGATGAGTGTTTCACTCCTAAAGTGTCTGAAGTGTGTGTATGTGTGTTAGAGGTGAAATTAAGCAGCGCACCCCAGTGTCCACTGCATGTCAATAGTACTAAGAGCCGAATTGTTGCCTCCTAGGACTTGGGAACATCCATTCTTAGAAGATGCTGTCAAGTGGTGGTTGAAATGTTTTTACTCAAATACAATCTTAATTTAGGTTCTGATGTCTTCACCAAAATGAGAATTTAGAGAGAGAAACAATTGGATAAATATTCCTCATATTAATGTTTTCCATCTCATGAAGAATCATTGGCATAGACTTTATTATTCTCTGGCTTACAGCTTAACATCCTGAAAACTGTCAACACTATCGGAGTTGCTCAGAAATCTATTTAGAAAATTAATGGATCTTGAAGATTACCTACTGTGCTGAGAGAAGAAAGAAAATAAGGAAAATTAATTGACTGTTGCCTTCAATTTCATTTTTCAGAGTGGCCAAATCGATGAAGGTCCCCGTCTATGAGACTCCGGCTGGATGGAGATTCTTCTCAAACCTGATGGACTCAGGGCGATGCTCTCTGTGTGGAGAAGAGAGCTTTGGCACTGGTAGGCTGTGCAGGGCAATGGCACTGGGAGGGTGCAGCAGCTCTGTGGCCTCACTCTGTGACCCTTCAAATCAAAGATACTTATTAGAATGCGTGCTGGTACCCTCTTCTCTTCTGGCCATTTTGTTTCTTCTTTCTTAAAATTTTTCTTGGAAAATAGTTCTATTATGAAAATTTAAAAACTGATCAAAACTGAGATCTTATTGAACCTCCATGTGCCTGTCCCCTAGTTTTGGCCATTATCAATGAATGTCCAGTCTACCTTTATCTCTACCATACAGGAGACCTCCTCCCAGATACTTGTGAAGCAGCCTCTGTAGTTCATGATATTATCCACAAATAGTTAAGTCTGAATCAGGAGAAAGAATATAAGCACCATCGTTCTATCACACTGAAAGCATGTTAGGAACAGCTTGTTTTTCTAATAGTTTAAAGATGTTACTCCACTGTCTTTTGGACTGCAGTTTCTGAGAAGTCTCATATAATTTTTATCTTTGTCTATATAAAATACCCCTTCCCAACTCTGCCTCTGATGACCTTCAACATTTTTTTTTATCTTTGATTCTCAGCATTTTAATTATGTTTATGGATAGACGTCTGTATGTCTAGCCCTCCTCACGGCTCTCTTAGGATCTTGGGCCTGTCTCTTGTCATATATGAATCTTAAAAAATGCTCAGTCATTATGTTTTCAAATATTTCTCCAGCCCATTCTGTCTTTTTTCTTCTGAGAGTCCCATTACAAAATATATTAGAAATTTGTATCCATAGATGCCTCAAAGTTTTTATGTACACTCATCTGATTTATTTTATTCATTTTGTGTTTCAGTTTATATAATCTACATTTGCATAGTATTGATTCACTGATTCTCCCCTTACCTGTGCCCAATCTGTTTATAAGTCTGTTAAAGAAACTCTTCATCTCTATATTTTGTTTTATTTCTAGCATTTCTCTTTACATTCTTAGAGATGAATTTATTATATACTACATATTTTGATTAAGTTTATCAGTATAGTTTAGATATACATAATGATCACAATCATCATAGGAAATTTGTACCTGTGCATGATACATCTTAATTCTTTTTGTTTCCCATTCCCCTACCTTCCCTTCAATCTCTCTTCTGTTCCTTATAGTTTAATTTCTCTAGGGAAAATACATCTCCACTTCTGTAGTTTACTGCTCTTTTCCAGGAGATCATTTCACATATTAAATGTCCGTTTTAAGATCTCTGTCTGATAATCCCATTATATGGTTCATCTCTAACTATAGTTCTGTAGATTGCTTTATCTTTTGACAAAAATTGGCTTTTGCTTTCAATTTTCAGCTTACAATGTTCTACTGAATGCTAGCCAGTGGACACAAAGATATATAGATGAATTGTATTTTTGCCCATAAGTAGGCAAATCTCCTCTCTTGGGTCATTAATGTGGAAGCTTAAGCTAAGTTAGTCAGCAGCCGAGCTAGATTGGGCTTTATTGTTTCTGTTATGAACTGTAGCATCCCGCAGGCTTAAAATTCCTTCAACAATAGGATACTTTTACTCTGTGTTAGCCTGAAGATGGCTTGTTATCTGCTCTTCTTTCTTTCTTGACTTCAAGCAGGTATTTCATGCTTGTGACTCAAAACATTGACTTCTGCTTACTTTGGGGGGAGGATTCTTCCCCTAGAAAGGCTCCCTATTTCTCCCTATGAGCTCACAAAAGCTTGTACATGGGCTGTTCAGATGCAAGAGAGGTTTGGGGAGATGGACAGGCTTGATGCTGTTTTTCTAAAGCAGCTGATCTCCTCCCACCAGACTCCTCCAGCGTCTAGTCCTGCTTCAGAGCTCCTAGTAGAAGCCCATGAAAGAGAAAGCAAAGCACTTCCCTTTCATCTGAGACATCAAGTGGTTGTAAGCCAACATAATAAAATACAATTGACCTGCAAGTATTTTTTAAAGTCAGTTGTAACTTATTTACCACCTGTATAGTGGCCTCTTCTTTCTCCTTCCAAATTTTAATATTCTAAACAGAGTGCCAAAGTGAAACTCCAAAAGTAATTTCTTCATTTCTGCTATTACTGTTTTCCCTAGCCTGCCTTATGTTTGTTTCCATTAAGACCTAAATTACTGTGCAATTTGAGAATGAATTTGAATTTTTTATCCAAATTTCTCAATTCTGCATTTTCCCCTTATAGATTGTTCATTGAAGAAACCAGATCATGTATCCTATAGAGCTTTGGACAGCCTTGATTTCTGACATTGCTGTGCTCCTTTGCTTTTCTATTTTGTTTAGTGCTTACCTAAGGAAGACTATTAATATGTTTGCTTTAAGTTTGCAATCTTCTTAGAGCATTCTGCTATTGATTAAAGTTTTTTATTTTCTAAAACTAATATGTTCTCTTTTTTTGAAAAATGTATTTAGGACAGAGTCTACAGGGTCTCACTACACATATTGGACTCATAGTGATCCTCCTGTTTTCAGTCTCCCAAGAGCTGTGTTACAGGCACATACCAACATGCCCAGTCTCAGTCTCTGTGTCAGTGCTCACCAGGGGCAGGGCCAGCACAGCACACCAGGGATCGAACCTCGGCCCCTGCATCTGCCCAAGCAGGTGCTTTAGTCTGCTGAGCTATCTGGCCAGCCCTATATTATCTTTTTTTATATATTCAGGTATAGAGCCTATTTCTAAAATATTTTTGTATTTTTCTAATATTGATGCCCTTCATTTTCATATTCTTATTGCATAGCTATCATCTTCAAACTAATATTAAATAATAATTGTGATAATTCATTATTTTAATGGAAATGGATTTAGTATTTTACCATCATTTTGGTGACTGCTTTTCAACATTGGTAAAAACCTTTATTATGCTTAGATCAATTATTTTTCAATTTTACTTACACTTTCAGAAATAGCTATCAGATTTTTCAGGTACCTTGTTAGAATTTAGTGATATATCAATATATTTCTTGCTATGTAAATGCAGAGAAGTAAGATTGATTTTCTATTATCAAACCATACTTGAATTCCTGAGAATAAGTACTATTTAAACATATTTAAACAGATCACAGTAAAACCACTTCAAATGACCATTTTTTTGTTTCTCTTTTTCCCCATAATTTTATTGAGAAACAAATAGCAATGAGACAGTTTCAAACCAAATTGGAGGACAGTTTCAATAATTAACACATTGCATACATTCTTCCTAGTAGTTAATTGCGGACATGATATCCTATTTACAAACACCATTACCACAAATCCCTCTATTCATTAAGAGAATGTAACTATATATCTATCCTAACCATTTTGAATACACAGATAGAAAGTGGACATTCATCTGTATCCCCTTTTTTGTTTAGTTCCGTTATTTGAATATTATAGGTGTGTTAACTCAGTAAAATATTCTAAAAGAGTCTAGTAGTTCATAATAGTATTGGGTCTTCCGCTTCACTGGCAATGTCAGAAATTGTTGACCTGAGTCCCCTACAGTTCAACATAACAGCATGGCTTTACTTCTTATACTTCATTTTTATACTTTTCTGCTGGATGGTTAAGACCAAGAAAAAGCAAGGCCTATGCAACAAGAGTTGTAGCTTTTGGGTCTGATAAGGTCAGTGAAGTCCGCTCAGGATTTATCCTGAGATCCTGTACCTCAGATTGTAGATCCTTTGTCAGTGTCAGCCATGTGGATGAGTCACGGCCATTGCTTGGCCAATGTGCTCTCTGTGAAAGCCTGAGAGAATGTTTTCTCTCCATGTGACTCTCCTTAGGCACACTCTACATCATCACTTTCCTCTTTGGCCTCATAATCTCCTTGATCAGAAAATTTGGGACACTACCAAGTTAAATGATGTGACAGTACAAGTTGTCAAATGTCCTGAGTCTTAATTGACCTTGGAAGGCTAGGGCCAAAATGTTGGCTTTCCTTGCAGCCCTCCTTTTTCTCTAATTTGGTCTGAAAACTTAGGTTGATAACCCTCCAGAAGAGCTTATTATTATTACCATACAACCTAGGCTGTTAAGCTTAACCTCACTATCTTTCTGAATATCAAACATCTTAGGCATAACATGGAACAGATATTTTTCATCAAGTATTAATATGTTGAACTTTAAGTCCCTACAGAATATGATGAAAAAAACATTTAAAAATTAGAATATATTTTAAAAATAGGCATAAAGAATTATATAATTCTTATGTTTACACGTAAGTCCAGAAGTCTAACCATATACAACTTTGAAGCAGGACAGTCCCATAGTATTCCTTTTCCTGTCTCCTACATTCATTCACCAGCCCCTTCTTTTTGAACAATCATCTACTTGAGAGACAGCACAGCAGCAACTGGCATGTCATGACAAGCAGCTCGTATTCAGAAGACCAGAATGACAGGCACTCCAAGCATGAACCTACTATTATAAATTTAAGCCATATGTGAATTCTGGGAGGACTTCCTTCAGTGGATAGTTTCTTCTCTTACACTAATAATGTGGCAGGGATTGCATTTATGTTTGTTTCCTTGGACCAATAGACGTATGAATCTCTCTCTAGTACTACTGTCTGAAATCAATGTGTGCAGATGGTATCCTATCTTTGGGCAGCCAAAGCTGTTAAACCTTTTCTCTACTGAAGCCTAACAAAGTGAACACTGTCCTTTTTGCCTGTCATTTTGTTTACTTACGCTAAGGGTAATGACTCAAAAAATCAGGAATTATAGATTGCATGCAATAATTCTACTGACTGGTTAGTACAACAACACAAATCTAGTAACTGGAATGGAAACTGGTTAAGTGTAGGTTTCTCCTTTCTTCTCTGTCTTCCACCAGCATTTGATGGCTTATAAGATACTGTCTACTTTATAGACTCACGTGGTTACCTATGTGTAACCATGTTATACTCTTCATAATAAGCAATTGCTTACTTAAGTGCAATAAACGTTTAAGGCACTGTGTTAGTTGTTGTATAGAATATAAAATGTTTAAGACCATACTGTTTTGAATAGTGAAAAAGATGCCCAGGTGA